GTATTGTGTGTGTATGTGTGTTACAAAGTGACGACCTCACATTTCAACTTATTACACAGTGGAATGTCTTTACAAAAGCGAAACTTGAGACACAACCTAAATTCTCTGGAGAACCACTAAGTTCTCCGATGATTACAATGGAGGTATAACATTGCAGTTAATCTATAACAGATTGTTAAATATCCGATTTCTCTCCTCTAGCTTGAAAAATCTTTCTATTATTAATGTAAACACTAACCGGTATCGGGTACAGCGAGTCGAATTGCTACCTTTGCAGTGCATTTGCACAAGAAGTCTTGATTCTTACTATATCTTCATGAGAGACGCGTTGTTATTTGTTTTACAGTAAATATTTCCGTTAAATATAAATTGCGCTCGCATGATTATTAATTAGTTTCCGAGAAAGGGTGATATTCGCCTAAATCAAGCCAATTTAAGCTCCGGAGCCAAAACGTAAAGTTATCGACGCAAAAAATTCAATGTGAATAAGATTTCATGGACTGTATGTAAAGTGTTGATAACCATTGCTCAGACGCGTATAAACACTTTATAATTTCCGAAATCTTACCCATATTGATTTTTGTTTTTTTTTTTTTTTTGCGTCGATGGCTTTGCGTTTCGGCTGCAGAACTCAAATTGGATAGGCTTGACCTAAATTGCCGACGAATGCAGGCCCTATCAAGTTATAATACATTGTCCCTCCAAGTTGCAGTGATCTAGTTTGCGATGCGAAACATCGTAGCACTTATGCTTACGAGCCACGACTACGTGCTATCTCATCCATCATGTAACAGTGGGGTTCGCTTTGGGAGTCGCCAGCGTACACGAGATGTATCCCAACAGATCTTTGGACGCATGTGTCTTGAGAGCCGAGTCATTTTTATTTCTTCTTTTTCTTTTAGAAAGATTTCCGAAGACCTGTCTCATTTGTTTCGGAGAATTTCGCCAGCGATTGTACGCGGATTTTGCGCCAATAGTAGTCCCGAGGTATTGCAAATCGATACCTTTCAACTTTACGATGCGATATCGCCGCTCGATCCGCGTCCTGTACGTGCATAACGATAGAATCTTGATAAGAATGAGACTTCGTTTCGTCGCTCGATACGCTCAACAGATTCTTACTCGCTTTTCATCGATCGTTTTTCAGATATCGCAGATCGTAAGCAGATACGAGCGACAAGAAGAACGAGCGATTTATGTTTACTCCGACATTTTCTCGTTGATGCTTTTGTAAGAATATCGAACGATCATCAGTATGCTCTGTTCGATCGGAATTTTATCGATTATGAATTCAAAAACGTATTATCGATAGTCGAGCGTATTTGCGCGCATTTGTTTTAGGTAATTTTAATACAAACTCTGCCGTTAATCCCGATTGACTTATCAAGTCACTCCTTCCAATTATGGTTTATCATATAAATTGCAAAATTTCTTCCGACATCTTTGTACGTCAAACTCGAACGGTGTCTCATTTCGTAAGCGGTTACTTATTTTCGAAGAGATAAGGCCGTGCCACTCTCAAACTTGTAGAGTCTCACAAAACTTCGTTTTCTCCCATTCTACAATATTGTTTCGCTTTTTTCACGATTTTACTTTTTTTTACTATTACGCTGTCGCTCTTGTCTCGACATTTACGCTTAACCTGTTTTTAGAGACTATCCTTGTTACCGTTTCCTCCTTTTAATGGTGAGATTCTTTGGCGCAATATTTCACGAATCATATTGTCCCATGTGATGATATTTTTTACAAGTGCCATTGCAATTAGTGCATCAATAATTCATCAAGACTTCACAGATTAAATCTCAGAACAATAATCCTACTAGAGATTCAGTACTATTAATTAATAAATAAATAAAAAATTAGCGTAACATTTTACAAATCATATCGTGCGATATTTTTTACAAGTGTTATTGTAATTGATGCATCAATAATTCGCATAATTCATCAAGGATTCACATGAAATGACGAAAACTAATTAAATCTCAAAACTATAATCTTATTAGAGATATGATTGATTCGATATTATTAATTGATAATGATAAAAACTTGAGAGGTTCAATTCAGTTCATCAAAAGAGGCAGATTATTAGCAAGTAGGTAATAAGTTGAACAAGTTGTCGAGGACCGCTGTTTGATCGGCAACGGTCGGTGTGAATGCGACCATAGGAAATCGGCTTTTGCTCGCTCGTGCAACGTGAACAATGGGCAATAAAAGCGATAAGAGTTAATTTCATCGGTCAACGCAAGTTGGAGAGCGGCTACTCGAACCGTGTGTAGCATCAGTTTGTAGCGCGAGGCCGGCCGGAGGGAAGAGAAAATGCCGGCGTGCGTTACTGCTCGCGTTCGCATCAGTCGCGCGTAACGCAGGAAACACGTATCATCGTCCGGCCTCTCTTGCGGTTTTATCCATTGGAAAAAACGGACGCGCGCCACCATAGCCAGAGAGCACCGATTCGCGAAAGGGGTAAATCGCGATTGACAGTGCACCGAGATCACCGAAATATCCTGTTCAAGTACGATATTTACGTAATCATCAACATCCAGTACGCACCATTTTGTTCAACACTGTATCCAGACTGTTCTGGTTTACAATAGTTTTGTAAAGCAATCATTCATTTTTGACATCCGATGCGAAAATGACCTATCGATGAGGGACAACTTTAATATTCTCAGTAATATATTAATATCGCGTTAATTGGCAAAATGATGATTTGCCATCTTTTACAGAATAGCTCATTTCCTTTTCCGCAATGTGTATATTTTGAATATTTTTTTATGTGGTATATGACGATTGTGTTCTGGATAAAGAAATATATACCATTGCAGTAATTCAGAAATAAATAAATGCATTGATAAATCGGATGTTTATTCTCGCAAATAGAGGAAAATATTGCATATATTGTAATTAATCGGATTCTGTCTCGATCAATATTTATGAAATTGCTACGTGATAATATTCACGTTCGATTATTGACTGATAACTGAATAAATCAGAGTATTATATATAAATATATATTTTTTTTTTTATACATATGTATATATATTCTGGAATATATTTTTGATATGAGTGCAAACATTTATTGCTGCAGGGATATATATATATATATTCTATTTTGTAATTTACGTGACACACTCATTACATCGAATAATAGACGATTTATATTTCGCAGAGTTAAATTTCAGATTTAAACCGCTATCACGACTGCATATTACTTCCGCCTACCTTTCGTATTATCGCATAAACCAGGTAAAACTGCTATAAAACTCATGAAATGTCAAGGCGTCAAATCTATCTTTCTGCCTCTCTGTTATTTTTTCATCAAGTATTAAACGTAATGCACTTTTATGCCTCAGATATCATGTCACACTTTAAGAGGATTTGCAATCTATCATTTAAGGCAGGGCATTATTTATAATCTAGGATATATACACGTCATCTCGTCTCACACACACATACACACGCATAGTAGAAGCTTTCAGAATAAACCGCCTTAATCTCAATGAGATCTTTTTTCATTCTTGTCTTGGATCCATACATTTTTTACTCCGCTAATTAACGGCGTATCGACATCACACTTATTCAGTAATTTCCATCGATAATTATTTTCTAAAGATATTTTCAACTATCGTCTTCTTAATCCCACTAATTTCCTTCTCGCATCTTCTTGTGAACAGAAGGCCGGCGTCTCGTCGAAATCGGCAAATCGATGGCTGTAGCGAAGAAAGGGGGAAAAGGAGAAAAAAATCATGAAAAAAAAAGAGCGGTAGGCTGAGAAAGAGAGAAGAGTAGAGCACTTGAACAACGCGTTCTGCGGCGTCCGGCAAACGCGTCCTGCGGCCGACACATTTTCCGTGCCGATGCACTTACCCTCGCGCACCCTCTCCGCGCTCGTTGCACCCTATATAACATCGACGACGACGATCTACCCCTCTGTGCGCTTTTCTATCCCCCGTCCCGTGTTCCGTCACACATACACACCCTCTACTTCCTTTCGTCCGTCACCCCACTCGTCTATCCTTCGCTCTCACCTATGAGCGACGAGGGCCTGTCTCTGGAAATAGTCGCCTACAAAGCGATTCACCGTGCATATCGTGCTGTCGCCGTGATTGTCGAGCTTCCCTTTCGTTCTCCCGTCGACGAGAAAGAACGGACACGGAGTCATTTCAGTTACGAGCGATGCGAAGATGATTTTCCGGACGGACGAGCCGACGTCTCGCGGGGGATTTTTTTCGATCGCGCGACGGTGAAACCCGACGTAACGTTGATACCGGCGCAAGTTTTTGAAACCGGTGTTAATTTTCGTTATGGTATTACGCGTGTTGTCGAGTTGTGCAACGATAATGACAGTGCTTATCGCTTGGATCTTTGTACTATTTGCTCCTTGCGTGTGCATCGTGAAACTCTATCTTCATCGCAGTTCCCGGTTCCCATTCATTTCGACTGCTTTTAATCGGCTTTTGAAGAGAGCGCACTTCTACATCTGACGAAATATTCGACGTGTCTAGAATGAAAGCTGTTGAATTTTATCCCAAATATGCTACTCGACGCAGATCTACGAATGGCGGATGTGTGTTGACGACGAGCGCACGCAGAAAAGGTTGTGAAACTATTTTAATGTGAAATTGTCTAAAAAAATTTTTCAATGAACTTAAACGGGAAAATATCGAATTTCTCGTTTTCGAAGATAAAATCATTCGATGCCTAATTGCATATTAATTTTTGTTTTTACCGTTTCGTTTTAACCGAAGACGCGTCAATGCTTCGATGCCACACAAGTTCCCGTTTATCGATGTTACGCCATCGATGAACGCGTTTAGTTCCAAACGTGAGAAAGTTCATTCCGTCAATCGAGAATATCGGAAAGTCGAACATTGAGTTCGTTACACGAAATGAATGGCAGTCGTCACGAGAGAACGATATGGTTCAGCGCGGTCGGAAACGTGAAAAATGATTCCTCGCGTACTTTTGTTATATATAAGCGGCACACGTGGATAACCTGGTGAGCGATGTACATTACATGCCGGTGATTGAATATCGGCATCGCCGCCGCCACGCGTATTACGACAGTCTCTTGGGAGGAGAAGTAGCACTTTATTCATATATATATTATATTCGCGGCGATAGAGGCATCGATATACCGATAATCGGCCCGATACATGATTGCGCTCACTCGAGCGCTCGGGATCCGTGTCGGAGGTGTGTGCGCTCGTTAATCGCTGGGATGGATAAACGGAGGAAGGGAGACACATCGTACCTCTCTTCGTGTGCTCTTAATCCTTAATCGGGCAACCTCCTTTCCGATCAAAGTAGAAGCACGCAATCGCCTCTATGTGAATTATATCTAATAGTGTTCTTTAGTAAAAATATATTGTCTAAAAGTGAATCAGTGTATTATTACTGACTTCTTGTGCTATGTTCAGTGCTACTTGTAATCATTAGCGAATATTTATTGTTTCTTTCAGTAATAATACACTGATTCATTTTTAGAAGTCATGGTTTCTACAGATTGGATCTGCAGAAAATCGTAATCTCTAAAAGTGAATCGGTGTATTATCAACAGGAAATATTCGCTGATGATTACCATGATTATCAGTTATCAATGTAGCACTGATGTCAGTAATACACTGATTCATTTTTAGAGAGTAGAGATCTACATATTTGGACGGATGAACGGATCAGAAAATTTGCATAAGACACTTTCGCTAGAGTATTACGTAGACCGAAAAGGCAGTTCAGAATTGCGAGGATAATTATCGATTAAGATATTTGACATTGTGAATTTATCTCCTACACACAGAAGAATATCATTGCTAAGAAAAAAAGAAAATTATTCTCAATCTACTTTTAAGTACAACGATTTATCTGTCACAAAGAGAATATTTTCTCATAATCTAATATAGATACTTATTGCAAATAGAAAAAGTCTTTATCATGTATTCAAAACAAGAATATATTTCCTTTTGAAGAATATTATAAAATGGATCGGAAAAGCAACATTGTAATAATCATTAAATAACCATAAAATATACAAATTGAATTTGTTGGTTTAATAATATCGATTGAAGTATTAAATTTACTTAGGATTCAGAATTTATTTTGAATGATGCTTGCGATGAACTTATGCTGGATTTGCGGATATATATGAACTTTTGAAATACTTGAAACACAAGTAATTATTACTTGAATGCAGTATGTATTTTTCCGTGCGTATATTTATATGTGGAAAGAATCGCTGATCCGTATCACGACTCATCTCGGATCTGTTATCGCGAGTACAATTTCGATTTATAATACACGATAATATGCTGTGTTTGATTTCTAGGAATCATGCAGATCAGATGTTAATACATTCCTACGTACGTATATAGGATAGCACGTGTTATCTGACAAAAGGACCGTTAATGAACCGCAAAGGGAATCAAAGCGATCTCTCTCTCCGTCTCTCCCTCTCCCCCCCCTCCCTTCCTCACTTTCCCTTTACTCCCCATAGATAGTAGA